GCGTCCTTGCACCCTTATTTAAACCATTCATTCTGTCCTTTTTCACACTCAGGCTTTCCTTCCCAATCATTCCCCTTTCCCCGCAACCACGGCGGACCAAGTACTTCAAACACATGCCGCACTCATAAGCTAACTTCCATTCATCTATCGCACTCAACTCTGTCATACACATCCATTCGATTCTCTTGCGCGCATTTACCTTTGTTCTAAGTTCAAACACTCCCGACACTCCTTCAAGGCTATACTCATTTCAATCCTACATATATTTAGGATAAATCAAGAGTGACTATCTTCTGGATAAAATAATTGCAGTGATTATATTTATTATTAAAATAAGATTATATTAAGAAATCGGTTGGTTGAACAGTGATGAGTATATGCGTATATATGAAAAGAAAAATAACTCTATACGACTCACCTAACGACTTCCTCTGACCTCTCGCTATCGAGCACAACACCACACTGCCGTCTCGAAAGGATCGTTCCTCGCGTTCTCAAATTTTTCTTAACCCCCTCTCACCTCTACGATCGTCGAAAATATTGCAGACCCTTCGGTGGACTGTCTGTTGATCAACGTTCTTCCCGATGGGACTGGCTTTCGTCTTATCTACTCTCCTTCGCTTCTTTTCTATTTTATGGCACGTTTCCGTTTAAGGTCCTTAAGGTTACGATACTATATAATTTTTTATCGTTTTTCCAATAACTAAATAATCGGAAATGATCGAGGTCACGTTACTTGGAACATTCTGTACATATAAGGTTTCGGAAAAATTTTGAAATAGGAAGATGTTGGAATTAATAGTAATAGTTCAGACGACTCTTCAAAATTTTTAGTTTGGGGTTACTTGCGTATATGTATAGAGCATAATGAGTTTGCGGACCGATTTTTCTGTGGGTGGAAAATCAATTTGAGAGGGTTAAACAGATCCTCGAATTTGAATACTAGACCTATAACGCGTACTTCAGTATAGTAGACATAATTAATATAAATGAAATTGGTACAATGAAAATAAGAAAGAGTACATAATTACGATTCTATTTGAATAAAAATCGATATTAACTTTGCCAACATCAGTTGTATATATTGGAATTAAATAACACTGTATTTTTATCTATATTACTCTAATACTTTATTACTAACAATTTGGTTCTTATTGTACAAACGCTCTCTATTCGCAACTAACGCAACTGACTTAACTAACGAGGACTGAGGACTGAGGACTGACTTATTACCGGTCTATATATATTTATTTATTTAAAAATAAATTAGCAGTGATAGAGTATGTGAGTAATAATAAAGATATGAATTATTACAACTTATCACAATGCTCAACCTACACTTCTGCAGCAACTCTCTTATTACAACTCGCAATTGTTAGCAACTCACAATTAATAGCAACAACAATTATTAACAACAACAACTCTGGCAACTAACTTCGACAACTATCAACTCGACAACTACGCTATTGACAACTCTTCTCGACAACTACGCTATTGACAACCCTGCTCTCCTCGACAACTCTCCACTGACTTAGCAATTCTCTAATCGACAACTTTGCTATTCACAAGCCTCTTTCGATAACTCCTTTAACTCAGAACGTCCTTGTCCTTTTATATTTTTCTTCCCACCATGCACACCCTGCACGCGTTTTCCAATGCCTCCCCAATATGCCCAAATACGGTAGTGCTAAGGGCCATCGCCCAGAGTTTTTTCGACTGACCTGGCCTTTGAATCCTCGACTACTTTTGTAAAGCTATGTATACATGCAGTGGAAAACTTACGAAACTACGATATACACATCGATCTCCCCACTCCAACTACGGAAGCTTGTATCTACTAATTATATACATATAGTAGCCTACAGTATATTGTTTGTAACTGCGAAAATAAATTAAACAAGTCATTTGGAACACTTCAAGTAGTAGTTTCGGTGTTAAGGATTTTGTTGTACTCTAAATATAATTTTTTCGGAATTTTTTTACGATAAGATGAGCGTATACTGAAAACTAAATTGTAGTTATATTTGAGAAAGCATAAAAAGCATTAATACACATAAAACAATTTGCTTTCACGAAATATTACTCTGAAGAGAAGAAATTAATATAGACAACAAAACTGTATAGTGAATAGAATAGAAAATATTTTTATGAATTTTTTACATTATATATTAAAATTAATTACTAATGAATTGCTTAAATTCATTCACATCAGCAAATAACTAAAGATAACTTTACCAAAGAGTTCATAATTTTTATATTAATGTATTTTACATTTTTACTAAGGACTTATTAAGCTTTCTCTAAACAGCAATATATATGCTGCTTTTTACATTCTTAAACATTACAAAGAATAAAATCAGCAGCATAACAACATACAATTCCGAGTATCTAATTCCAAAATAATATCATTTGCATTTAAAGTACAACCCACGAGATGGTTACTGGTACATATAGAACAACGTGTTGCAGAAGGTGCAATGCAGTTTGCATACTCTGGTTACCGTTACAACATTCGTAATATTTAGTTTCCACTTATTTCTGCTACCCTGCAAATATAATATAATATATAGACTATTCTCTCTGTAGTATTTTATGATTTTGTGACTAGCTGCATAATTCCAATTAGTACATGATTGCACTTAATGAATGAGCATCACTGCTATCTACTGGAAAATAAAAGAGCACTCCTTGTTAAAGAACTTCTTTGTCAATTTAATAAAATAGAATATACTACCACTTTATTATTGAATTTTACCTATTAATTAATTACCCCTGAATTTGTTTTCTTATATAAATTCTTTTCTTTCAGTATGGATAAATGTATCACACTCACATGAATTCAGTAGTCCGTATCGTTAACGCGATTCAGTTAATAGATGCTCCTATAAATCATTTATCGAATGAATTTCTTTGATTTATCTCGAGTTCAAAATACGAAAATAATGGCGGCGAGATAACAAGGGCGATCGAAGGTTTCTCTTTTATCGACAAATTCTTCGCTCGACACGAACGAAATTCTGTCCTCTTTCTTTCTCGAACCGTACAAACCAGATCAAATATCAAAACAATCAATTCACAAAGCACCACGTATAAAGCAAGCTCGAAATATGTTTAATCCCAAGGGCGAAGTTTGCCAGTCGAGTTCGAAATTGGTTTATTTGCTTATTACGGCGTACCATGACAAAATATATCAAATTTCCTTAGGAACACTATAGCTTCCAATAATTACTTTTTTAAAATCAACTATCCATCTGTTTGACTTCATATTTACTTCATATTACGGTCTCGCAGTATTTTTCCAAATATTCGTCTTATGTTGGTTCTCGAGTAAGTGAGGTTAGACCGTATGCGAAGATAAAACAGCCGTGAAATCACTATTAGAGATTCATTCGGGACACAGATCCACGCAGATCCACTGCACTCGCGACTTTGGTTCGATAAAACTTGCATTCCACGAAAACACAGTTCCCCAGTAAAACTTTCGCCGGGATGATTAACGACCGCCATAAATTTCAAGTTTCTCCATCGGATTTATATTCGCTGCACTGGTTCATTCGCCGGCGAAGAACGCGGGAAACGGAAGGCTTAGGAAACAAGCAATTACCGATCCCTCTGTCGAGCGTCTACTGAATCGTTTTGTTGCGTCTACTACTAGTCGCCGCGTTTGGGTAGCAGCACATGTCGCTGTGACATTCTCCCGCGACAATCGACGATCGAACATTTTTAGACGGGTTCACAGACGGTTACCGTTCTATAGCGGATAAAGAGATTAATTGCGTTGCGGGAATCACGACCGCTACCGATTTTAATTACCGGCCGATGCGGTTTAAGGGAATAGGCATCGTGATTGGTCATATCTGCGAACGTTTATGTCGATGAAAGACAGACCAGTGCATTTACAGGCAGTGAGTTTTAATTAACGACTGGCTCTTTGACGAAGCCTTCCTTATTGTTCACGAGATTGAAATATTCAGCAAGCGGACGGCAAACGACCGTTTTTGATGAAACCTTTTGCCTTGCCAACTTAAACCTTTGAGTTTTCCAAATGGAGATTCTTTATTCGATGTATAAAGTGCTGTGCTCAGGATACTTTAAAGGGCACGAAAATTAGAACAGATACTGTGTCCTTTTATGCTTCATTCTGTGTCATACATTTTTTGGTTTAAGTAGATTTAAATATTTTAAGTAGAACTGGGTATGCAAATTTTTTAAAACACACTTATAAGTTGCGTGGGCATATATACATGCTTCACAGTTAATATTGAATCGTTTTTTAAATCTTATTTCATTGGATACTTTGTATTTCTATTTGCAAAAGGATCTAACAAGACATTGGTACACATTAGTGAATCTAATTAAATAGTTAATATTTATATTTAGTAAAAATATATAAAAAGTTTTATTTTCCTGGTTTAAAATTTTTTTATTTATATTATATTTAGTTAAAAAATTATTTTAATTAACAATCTGTTTACTTTTTTATTTATTCCTTTTCTTTAAACCAAACTTTGCTAGTATTATTTAAATATGTAATTATTTTAAATTGCATATAAAGAAATGAATAATTTGAAAGAAATTGCAGCTTTAACATATTGTTTGTATTTAATACCAAGACTACCAATTTCATATTGCATACATTGACAATAATAATTAAAGTAACATACTCAAAATAGTTAGGTATATATAATTATGCTTCTTCTACAATATTAATTTTATCAAAAGCAATTGTAAAAATAAAAAATCTAGGAATAATTATTTTTATTTATTTGGTAGTTCTAGTGTTAAATAATTGGATTATATAATATAAGACAAAATATTGAATAAATGAAAATAGAAAGTCTGGTTCAAATGATAAGATATATGAAAATATTTAACACAGGAAATAAGTAATGATTATTATGAATATGAGAACTCAGCACTCACGTTTTCACATTTTCCCTGATATAGTACAGTACAGGATATTTAACATAACATTTTTATTAAAAGAATTGTTTACTTACCTTTTCCCCGCTGTCGCTGGGTAGGTAGAACGTCAGTACCGTAAGAAAGGAAATTCCCATACACGGAATAATTATATTCACAGTGTAGAAAAGTGTCTTTCTTCGCATTGTTATATTAAATGTAATATCCAGGTACGGCTCGTCGCAGCAAGTGTAAAACTTTTCGTTTCTGCACAAAAATGAGAGAAATTACAGATTAGTTTAATTTATGGAAACAGTAAATATGCAACTGTTAATGGAGGACTATTTTTATTAGATTATTTTTTATTGAAAACAGGTAATGAAATTACAGTTTATAGAAAATTAAATTTATATCAGATAAAAATTATTTTAGTTTTAATTAATGCGATTAAATAGGAAAAAATATATATATTTTTTAAATAGAATTTCGGTGCAATAATATCGGCAAATTAAAAAATCTAGTCGACTTATAATATTACAATAATTAATTTAAATTCCACATTTCGGAAATTTCAAATGCTCCTATTTTTTATAAATAGGAACTCATAGATTGTCACATTGAATATTAATGTAGTTATTATAGTAATTAGTATTACACAATATTAGTTCTTCTTATTATTATAATATATATTAATTTATGAAATTGTAATATTAATATCACATTAGTATTATTATCTTAATATTAATGTATTATCACTGATATTGGTGTTAATGACAATAGTATTAAAACGTATTTAATCACACAAAATAAAGAGATACTTGCTTTATTTATTTTCACTTCTTAGTTTTATAATTTTTTTGTTTGCTTTAAGGTAACAATAAAAGAAAAAGGTTTAATTAGGTAAAATACAATGATTAAAAAAGAAAATAATATTCTTTTACGGTTTTCTTGAAAAGGAACTAAAATGGACAGAAATGTAATATTGAAATCTAGTCTGTCATTAATGCTTTTATAGCAGACGGCGATTTTTAGAGCACGATTCTGTCAAATGGCATGCAAGATGTCCATTCTCTCGTCCACGGATCGATTGAAATTCCGGTTGCAATTTAGGACCGTCTGACCATTCCTCTGGCTGTCTGGTCATAGCAATGATATTCCACTTACGTGACAAGTCGTTTAAATATCCATAAAAAGAAAAATCTATTCGACTGAATGTCACGTCTTTCACAAAAAATAATTCATAAAAGTACCAGGCATTGAATTTTCCTTGGGGTCAGATATACTTAATTCCTTTATTTAATTGACAGTGATATTCAATGTTTGACTGAATCTAATAAAGGTAATTAAATTATATTTTTAAACAACATATCTCATACATTCCCTCGAATCCCTTTTTCTGTATGGATGCATTTAAAATTCATTTCTCAAATTTTATTTAATTCCAATTTTAGTTTTTCGATTTCATTTAGCATTCATTTTAATATTTAAGACTTTATCTCGTCTCGACTTTTAATTTTTATAATATTTCTCATTTAATTTCAAATTAATACCTGTTTTAATATTTCCAGATTTAAATTTACATTTTTTAATTTTGTTTAATTCCAGTTCTAGTCGTTTAAGCATATATATCCTTTTTAATTTAACCTCAGTAGACTCTTAATAAATATTCGTACGATTATTTTAATAATTCAGAAACGTACATATTTGCCGTTACAATTCATATTTTATAAAACAGTACAAATAATATGCAACTTAAATTTAGATTAAAAATTCTGTTACCGAGCTATTAACTAAACATTGAAATAAAAACAACTAAAAAAGGAAAAAAAGAACAGAAAATGAAGGCACAAATGAACATTTATACGTGAAATAAAGCATTTTTGAAAATATCGTAGGAAAATATCAACAGCCAATGAAATTTACGAAAGAAATCAAGTATCGTGATAGGATAATTGTGCAGGTAAATATTGAGCTTCGAAAACGTACACATCAAATAGCGAAACAGGTAGAGAAATATTTGGGAAACATTTACGAGTATAGCATGCTCACCGTACTGCAGGTACTTCTAAAATATCCCATTCTACCGACATGTAGAATTCGGAGAGGTCGACTCCTACGTCCACGACATTGCTTCCCAATTTCTCGTCCATATGCCTCAGATCGACCTACTCGAAACAAAAGAATCCTCTGCATTAACACCTTCCCTATCAAGGATTTTACTACATTAGTAATTTTCATGCCCACGTAGTATACTTTCGACAAACGAACCTGCAGCCAGGATGATAACACTTTTCTCCCAGCTTTTTTGCATATCATTGATTCTTCGTAATTTTTTGCCAATAGTATTTTTGGACTATTAATAATCGACAAATTTGCATATTATAAAATATCAAATGATTGTAAGTTGATGTATTTGAATTTATAAGAAAGAAAATCAACGTGCGAATTTTATTATGAAAAATTTTGTCACTTTTGTATAATAAATTTGTTATTCTTCTATGGCTATGAGAGGGTTTAGATGTAAAAATCGTAATTTCGTAAGTAGATATGGAATATGGTAATCTGCCGTCAAAGTAAATATGATTTATTCTTTATTCAAATAGCACGCGGAAAATTTATTTCTGGCGATTTATCGAATTTACACTTTTTATACATCATATGTCTGTCCATATTTAAAAATATGATAAGAAAATTAAAGAACGAATTTCTGTAAATGTCAAATAAATTTTAACCCATAAGAATGACAATAATTTTAATAATTTTTTGACGTAAAATGTCATGTCAATTTTTGAAATGCGATATTACTCAGAAATAAAAATTGGAATGCAAATATAAAATATAACAGATAACAAATTAAAGTTTTATCATAATTAGAAAAATTAAATAAATGATTATAAACACTAACATATTTCAATTACTCGTTTCTAAAATAAGTTTAAAGTTTCACAAGATGTAAATCAAAGAATTTAAATATAAGCATAAATATAAATACAAACATGAAAAAGAAAAATACAGATATAAAATGCAGCAGATAAAAAATAAAAATTCTATCAAGATTCGAGAAATTAAGCAGAAAAATAATTAGGAGTGACAATATATTTTAATTATTTGTTTCTAAAATGAATTCATATTTTTCAAATGCAACAAAAGAGAAAAAGAAAAATCTAAATATAAAGCATAAACACAAATACACGATACAGAGATATAAATATAAACCATACGAAACAAAAGTTCCATTATAATTATCGAACAAAAATGCAAACAGACTTATTCGTTATAACAAGACCACGAACAACGATTACACATCCATTCCTTAGAAATTCAGAATGACAAAAGAAGCTGTACAACTGTTATACCCATAAGCTGGCTTTCAAAATTTATGTAAAATTCGTGACACGAAAGTAGCATTGCAAAAGCAAGTTCGATAGTGAAACGTGCTTTCTCGTGGCAGCAGGTTCATCGTCACGGGCTAAGTACGAACAATAAATTCCGAAATGAAAGATTAAAGTGCATGTCTCGTGATGCACTTAGTGTTCGCAAAAGCGCAACGGGAGCAAAACACTAATAATAGTCTGGATGAAAATGGACCGCTCAATCGTGAAGGCCCAGAAAGAATCTAGAATCAACTATCAGCAGAACGTCCTCTTTAACTATGCCTTCGCTTTCAACTATTGTGCAGCATGACGAACAAACAAAGTCGACACTGAAAAAATCAAACTAATCGCTAAGCAGAATCCTAATTTGGCTGGAGAAACGAATATTATCGCCAGGTTAACTTATGCGTGAATTTCTTTTCTTTTTTCTCTTTTTTCACTACTTTTTTTTTTTTTAAATCCTGACTTATTCATTTCTTAACACCGAGTTTCTCATGTACACTCAACGAACCGGGTTGCCGCGACCAAATGCATATACATCGAAGGCTACGTTAATTTCCATGATTTCTCAGCGTTCGATTTGATCTCTTTTGCGCGAGCTTTTTTTCTCTAAGCGATTTCAAGCGAATGCTTCGAATTTAAAGCGGTAACTTGGATGCACAATACCGTGCAAAATATCTGTTTCATTTGTTTCTTGTTGATGTTCAAGTGAATGTAATAATGATAGAATAAGGAATTAATGTAACTTTGATAAAATAAAATGAATAATTCAGAAAAATTATAGATTTCACATTTTGATATACTTCCTATTTCATATAATCGTGTAATTGAAAATGTAATCTATGGTTTTATTTGTTGTTAAAATCAGAGGAACAAAATTATATTTTATGAACCTAAAATATGCACAAAAGAATTTTAAAATTAAAATTAACAGAGATTGTTGTATTCAATATTACTGTGTATGGAAGAGGTAGAATAAATGGGAATTAATTAAATGAATATTGCTGTAGCAAATAATGTTGCTCTAAAATATTACGACAAATTAGGATAGATGTAGTAAATATCATTTTATGAAGAAAATAAGGGATACTGTAATAGATGTTTTGCATATTATAAAATAGAAATTGGAAATAATAAAAGACATCGTCGTAGAAAAATTAAAAATAGATGGAAAAAAGAAATGTAAAAATATAGTGAAATAAATAATTTAAAACTCCCAGTGGTCAGCCCCAAAATTTGTATAATCCCGGTATAATAATTTTTGCACGGTATTGTTGTTCGCTAACTGTTTAATCTCTTCAACGTTGCACATTCAGAACATATTTGTATGCACGTAAACGGTGCACACAAGCATAACTTCATACATACAAAAGTATCGACAGAGAAATCTTAAGCAACGATAATACACAAGAACGTCGCACAACTAGCGCAATATATATATTAATAATTTGTATGCAGTTGCTTGGCTATCGGCGTTTAATAATTAAATAGAAACGACGACGGTGTGCTTCATTTCGAAAATTGGAAGGAGATTCGGGTTGATGTGTGAAGTGTATTCGTGTATGCGTGTAAATAGAAAATATCCAAGAAAGAAAAGTGGACTGAAGAGATGGTAAATAGTCGTAACAATTACAATACGCATTTCATCATAAATATCTAATATGTACCCATAATATAAATATATATACTCGTATGCAAGAAATTTTACTAATATCTCAGAACGCATGCGTCACATAATCGAATAAATAATTTTCATATTTCCCAAGAACTTTCCGAGAATAAATTATCACCGAGAATTAATCCTTAATAAACGCCTGTTTCGCAAATATTAAGCAAATAAATCGAGATACGCGATATTATTGGTTGATTGCAGCTGAATCGATAATTAATAATTCGTTTCGTCGTGTTCAATTTCCTCGAATTATTAAGCCTCTGCATACGTTTATTTCGTTGAATATAGGATTCTATTGAAATATAATTTTTTAATCTTCGTAATTCTGTAAGATTTCGAAATTCTCTCTCGAAATTTTCCCTGGAAACGCCCGAAATTCTCAAAGTGCTGATTTTGTTCAGCAAGAGAAATATTTCGTTTAAGAAATGACGTCTCGATGAAATTTTTATATAATTTTTTATTGATTAGTCAAATGAAAAATAAATAAGAACGTGAGAATATATCAAAATAGTTAAAAATATTTGGAATACTCCAATTCTCTTTAAATGTAACCTATTTTCCTTTTTTAAATTAGTAGTTATTTTCCTTTTTTTAATTAACTACAATTTTTTCTAAAGGTTTCAGAAAACATCGCTGACGATGACAAGAAAAGATACTTTGACAATCTTTCAAAATTTCGATAGCCTACATTATCGTTGAAGAGTTCAAAAATACTGAAAGGAAAAATAAGGAAAGTAAAAATAAAAATCGATCGCTGAGCATTTACGGTGCATTTTACACAGAATATTTCACATATATATGTATCGAAAATTTTTTATTCGGAGATTCTTTATTCAACGATTTTACGTATTTTTTCCATATTTTTCAGTAAATTCCGAGAATTTCGAAATCACGAAAAATGTGTAAAGCTTTGAATTCTCGAACCTTCAAATGTTTTTGAATTTTTATGCTTCGAGGAATCTATCACGAATTGAATATTTTTTAAAAAGTAAGATATCTTCGATCGGATATCTGAATTTTGGCGTTGAAGTTAGTGATATTAAAAGAGAATTTGTCAAAGTAAAACTATATTCACCCTAACAGTCTATCCCCGAAACGAAATAATTTATTTATCAACTATAATAATTGAATTACATACAAATCAAATGATTCAATAGTAAGTAATTAAAAGTTATCTATTAAAATAAGTATAATTGAGACTTTTTAAATAAAAGTCAAAATAAATTTCGCCTATTTTAATAAATTTTTGCCTACTTTGATAAATTAATGTTAACATTAAAATAACAGTTATATGTCATCAGCTTTTTGTTTTCGTAGTTTAATATTTTATTATGTTAAGAAATTTGATACTTGTTTTAACAATAAAGACCTGTTTCCAAGTACTCTACTATTTCCAAACTTAACTATTAGTTTTCAATATTACGAAATTATATTTTATTATGAAATTTATTACGATTGATTCAATAAAATACAGAAAAGGAATTACTGTAATTTTCTTAACTTCAGCAATTCCATCCCACAATTTCCAAATTTATCATTCAGCTTTCGATATTATAAAATTTCATTCCGGAATTTATTAAAATTAATTCAATAAAGTACAAAAGGAGAAGGGTATTATGATTTTCTCGATTCTACTATCATCATTCTATTATTTCAGCTTTCAGTATTACAAAATTCCAATTTATTATTATAAATTCCATTACGAAATTTTATTACAAATTCTTATTACAATTTTATTACAAAATTTCATAAATTAAATAAAATAAAGAAATAATAATTACGGCTTTCTCGATATATTTAGTTTATCAGGCATTAGGAGAAGTATTATTATCAATGAAACTAATCACGCGAGAAATTAAAAATGTGGTATAAATCTCTGAAGATATGCATAAATATATGCACATCTGCCTGTCGACAAATCTGATTGATTTCTGTTCAATTGCGATGTATTCGCGGAATAGATTCGCATCAGCAACGCGGAAGTAAAGTCCAGAATCTTGCATCGAATCGATACCGGAGATGAAATGGCAAAAATGTTCAGAATATATTCTTCTCGCAGATTTTACGGTAGGATTCGAAAAGCACTCTCATCTCGGGCGAATGCACTTGGAAACCGGCAACTTTGCCAAATGTCCTTTTCGGTGCCTGCAAATCTCATCGATTGTTTCGTCCCTCTACTTTGCAATATTTCTCTCGCGTCATTCCCGCGTCTACGTTCTGTCTTATCGTGCACACGCGAGGTACCCCATTTTAATCTTACTCCGCCATTATCATTGCAGTTGTTGGTCGTAGAGAAACGGAATATTTTTAGATCAAAGTTACCTTACCGAGTCTTACTTTACCATATTTCGAGAGAAATGGGAATGGTACTTTAAGTAATTTGTAATTGGAATTTTATTAATCGAATTAATAGAAAATGCATTTTTCAAATTTATTTTTCATTTTATATTATAAGTAAATAATTTTTCTATTTTTTGGGAATTTATTTTTATAGATAATGTTAGTATAAATAGTTATAAGAATAACTTTATTAGTGTTAATGCTTGTGTTAGTATGCTAATATTTTTGGTTCGCTTAGAGAAATAATTTTTGCGATTATATTAAAGATTATAGAAATTTATGTAATATTATAATATTCATTTTCGATGAATGAATATTGGGAATGATTATTAGAATGAATATTATAATATTATTTGGAGATGACATATATAATAATTTTCTATAATTTTTAGAAGTAATAATATATAATAACAATAGTTATTTATATAGAAACTTTTTCCTCTCTGGGGAATTCTGATAGTTATTTAATGGTTTTCATTAAAATCCTGTAATTAATAAGTAAACTAATTTCGTACTAGTAAACATTGTATACAAAGTTCGTGAAATATAGTAAAATTGTTAAATTTACATCCGTAGAAAGATTAAATTATTCACTTGAAAAATTGATCACATGTAACATCTTATTTAGATACAGTAAATAAAAGTAAATGCTTAGAATAATTTTTATTCATATTAAATTCAAAATTATTTCAAAGATATTAACAGTTATACTATGTATTCGTAACATTTGAAATTTTTATTTATATTCTTACTGAATTTGCGTTTAATTTATTCTTAATTTATTTGTTAGTCTCAGTAAGTAGTAAATTAAATATCCTTACATTTATTTCTTTTCTCAGTATTAAATGTATCGCTTTCATCACTTTTTATTATTAGTATCCAAAAACGATATTTTGTATATTATAGGACAGAATCTATTTTCGAATGAAATTGAAACTCTTTGCAAGTTAGATTTTTTTATGCGAGGAAAAATCTGAGAAGGGTTAAACCTAAAGTCGTCTAGAGAGGCAATTGACCGCAGAAAAGCTCTGAAGTTTATAGTCATAACACGGATTTGAATCATCAAAATTTTTGCATTTTCAGCGTTATGTTATCGCGAATATGCAAGCATGCATATATGTATATATTTCATCTATCGATCCAAAATAAAATAGGTATCGCACGGCTATTGAAAATACATATACGTGACGTATGAGATTATACAAATTTATTAGGAAGTGCATTTTGCAGATAAGTAATAATTCAGTTATTGCAAGTAATATTTTTATAACTTACTTTTATAATTTTATATCAATATTTAATACATATTATTTGGATACTTATATAGTCAAGAAGTTAATTAATATGTCATATTAATGTAATATTTATTTTAATAATTATATACTAAGCTATAATAAGTAATATATAAATATTAAAATAAATA